CAGCGGCTGATGCCAGTTCCGACTTACATACAGATTCAACTTAAGAACAAACCTACAGTCCCTATCTTGTACGTAACCTGGGGATTGCCTGTATAGAGATCACAGGCTATTTAGTATCATATCAAATACACCATTTAAAATGAGTCTAACCTTATATTGAAAATAAAGGAAAAGAGGAAAACGGTTCAACATTTGCAGTATAAGGTGTTAAATAAAAATGTCATTGTAATATTTCTTGTTCCTTTCCTTTTAGCTAAAGACAGTTTTAGAAAGAAAAACCCCTTATTTGATTGTCTGTCAGATGCTACTAAAGATGATAACTAGGTAAAAGAAATTTTAATTGAAATGAGTTGCCTGTATAGAGATCACAGGCTATTTAGTATCATATCAAATACACCATTTAAAATGAGTCTAACCTTATATTGAAAATAAAGGAAAAGAGGAAAACGGTTCAACATTTGCAGTATAAGGTGTTAAATAAAAATGTCATTGTAATCTGCTGCTGTTAAAAGACTAAACCTTTTCAATCATACATGTGTTTTGGATTAAGTTGGAGGTAGTGGGAGTAGCAGTGTCATCTGAATCTCTCTCTCTCTTTCTCTCTCTCTCTTTCACTCTTCCCCTGTCCAGTTAGAACATCACTTAGGATCAGGGTAATGAATGCCCAAGGTCCCAAGAAACAATGCAAGTGGCAGCCTGGATGGTGAAACTCTCTGTAGTAGTAGCCTCCATCTGTTCTTGATTAGTGCCCCTCCCTTGCTCAAGTGTTTTTTTAGGGTCCTACTAAGTGAATGTTAGGAGAAATAGCCCAGCTCATCATTATTTTCTCTATCAACTAGGTCTAATCTCTGACACACAAGATTGGTTAATTAATTTCCAATTCCATAGCTTCTGTTTTTTTACCAAACATGATTTTCCATATCGGTAGGCCCTTTTGTTTAGACTAGCAAGGTTTTTTTTTTGTCTCCTTTACCCGTAAACATTTGTTATTACAGGTTATTCTATTAACTTATAAACTCTACATTCTTTTTACAATTCAGCTTACAACTAAGGGAAATTTGTTGACCCAATTATCCCAATAGCACCTAAGTTCACTATTTAAACTCCATTGACATGTTCAATGCCCAAGTCACTTTGGTGCCCAAGTCTCCACTGGCTGGCTATTGGTAAAGTAGCTTAAGCACTGATGCCCTCCCACAGATCATTAGCAGCTTGAAACCTTGCCTCAGATTGAAGCCCCAGAGACACCAAAGCAAGGTTTTAAAATAGGGCCCAAGTCACTTTGGTGCCCAAGTCTCCACTGGCTGGCTATTGGTAAAGTAGCTTAAGCACTGATGCCCTCCCACAGATCATTAGCAGCTTGAAACCTTGCCTCAGATTGAAGCCCCAGAGACACCAAAGCAAGGTTTTAAAATAGGCAGGGGAAAGGCTGTCTTGCAAGCAAGGAACAATTCTGTATGTATGTTAATAGAACACCTAACACCTGTTCTCCACAGTACCACCTCCCCTTCCCCCGTCCCGAATCAGGAGAGCATCAGAATGCCTGCATAAAACAAGCCAGGGCCATAGGAAAATGTAAAGTGAATATGAGCAAGTGATGAATACCAAGAAACAATTTTGTCTTCAGGACATGGGTTACTTAAGTTCTAGCAGTTACTTGCTTAATTCTAGGAGAGGGTTCACAGCTTAGGGTCCTGAGTAGAAGGAGGCTGCTCAGTGCACCAGAACAACCGTTTTATTGCTAAAATCCCCCTCTTCTTCTCAGCCCTTTCCCTGGCATTTCACTTATGGCTAGCTTGGATGGTTCCTCATTCACTTGGCCAGCTGCTTAAAATTCCATCCTTAGGTGACTAAGTCTCCCCATTAATTATATGGGGAGCCTTTGCATCTAGCTCAGGGCCGAAAAGTGCGCTGAACAGCAAGCCTGCTAGGGGTTAGGTGTTGTGATGCTGAGTACCATGAAGGATCAAAATATGAAGATATACCTATCTCACAGACCTGGAAGGAACCTTGGGTATGTCTACACTACAGCGTTAGTTCGAACTAACGGACGTTAGTTCGAACTAACTTTGATAGGCGCTACACTAGCGCTCCGCTAGTTCGAACTTAATTCGAACTAGCGGAGCGCTTAGTTCGAACTAGGTAAACCTCATTTTATGAGGATTAAGCCTAGTTCGAACTAGCTAGTTCGAATTAAGGGCTGTGTAG